GACTTCCGCGAATCTGTCCCCCCCCCCCCCCCCGAACATGCTCGGAAATCGCCACCCATGACCACCGTCCATTCCGTCCGTATGTTGAGTGCTTATCGACTGACAAAAAATCCTGGCATCATCGTCAGCCGGCGCAATGAACAGGCCACGTGACTTTGAAGTCACGTGCCGTGACGTAGGGCGAATACTTGGTCGTGATTGATGCTGACAAACGTGCTGGCGACAGGTCGAGCGCGGCCCCAACAGCCCGTGAGAGAAATTAGAAAACTTCTCGCATTTGGTAGTTTGGCAGCAGATTCTTACTACCAGTGGTATTTTCAGATCTACCGGAATATATACCTTAACCAGACTGGTGTCATCAAAATCCCTCCACACGTGTTTGCATGATTCAGCCGATTGACGTAACCGGGGTACGCCTTCCTTAAATTGAACCAAATGTAGCACCGGTGGTGCACGCAGAAGGAGGGCACAAGAGGTATGAGCCCCCCGCCCCCCCCCCCACTCGAAACCCATAGGTTACGACTTCCGGGGGCCCAGGGGAGCCCACTGGACCGATGACCAAGGACCCGATTGGAAGGCCTAAGGGCACGGAGGGCTAGAGGGAGTCGTCTTCAGGAGCGTGACCTGCGCGGACGGGCCTACAGATGGCATTCAGAGGATCCTTTGGGCCGTTCGAGGACCCCTGAGTCGATAAAGGTCCAGCACTGGGTCTGGCACTGGGTCTAGGACTGGCACTGACATTGGCGACTGAGTCTGGCGCCACCAGTACCGTACAATCGGTTCCGTGTTGGTATGGGCCTGAGGGCCCACTTTCAGAACAGCGAGCAAGCTGGGGCCAGCGATTTACACCGATCGGGGCCTCTGCATCTGTAAGGGACCCACAGTGCCTATCAAAGGGCCCTGTGATGGCAAGGAGTTCCGAGCCGACCAAGAACATTGTAAAATTAGGCCCGAAAGACAGGTACTGGTGCTCGCAGAAACCGACAATGGAGAACCTAATTGGAGGGCATAAGGGTCCGAATGGAAACGCTGGCTGTAGGTCACACATAGGATCTCGGCCCGCAGGACTTTGGCCTGAAGTATTAGACAGAGGGCCTCTTTTACCATTTAAGGACCTCCTGAGATCTTGCAGGCGCTTATGCTGGCCAGGGACCACCAACACCGAACGGTTGACTACGTGTCGATTTGAACCCTAGTATCTATTTCCCAAGCAAGGACAAGGCTGGAACCCATCATTTGCATTGGTCTGGGTCCTTGAAACAATGATTAGGCCTCTGTACCGGTCATGGGTTCACGGTGCCGAACAGGGGGCCATGTGTCGGCAAAGGGCCCCGATTCCATTATGGGCTTTGTTTCAGGAGGCCCGAAGAAGGGCCGAGTGGCCCTTCGGGACCAAAGATCAGGGCCCATTGGAGGGGTGAAGAGGCCAAGGGGCCAAAAGGACTCCCCATAGGTCACAGGTCACAACGAGGACGCCCCCCACACGTTGGGTCTCTGCGCTGATTGGGCACCCTTGGGACAGTGCAGACCTATCATACCAGCGTTCGAGCATGTAGCCTCGATCTTTGCCAGTTCAGTTCTAAAATGAATAGCGTGGCCGGATGAGTCCACATTGACAGGGAGAGCCCTTGGGTGCGCCTCTGGTGCATGTGCTGGGTATTTGACAAATAAGAAATATGGCGTGTGGAATAAGCTGCGCACTGTTCGCACCTGTGCGTGTTCACTGTGGAGCTTTTGTCATCCTCAGGCCTGATTTATCAGCGGAACGTGAGCGTGCCCACTTGACTGTCGGCAGATGAAGTCGCATTTCCAGCAGCGACCTAAACGTCTGAACTGGCCCCAACGATCACTCGCTCACTACGCTAGGCGTGCCAGATCCTGCGGCATAGTCGGGACCTGCAGTACGTCCAGACCGAGAGTATCTTCAGCCACCAGCAACTCATCACTCAACTAAGCAACTCGGCCAGCGTTGTCTGGCCAGGGGCCGATGGAAGGATTTGATGTCGTCAATACTGCCGCACTGCGCTCTATCTACCGGAGGACCTATGCATTCGCCCAGCACGTCATGAAAGTCCCCTGCCTTCAAACAACATGCTATCAAGGTAAAGGCATGGCTTGCCAGTTCCAGCTCCATGCTGGTACCATCCGTACAGCACTCCGGGTGCTGAAGGCGGCGATGAAGACCATGAACTCGCTGGAGTGCATCCGATCTCGCTTCTGCGTTAGTAAAATAATATTGCACGGCCGGTAGCAATATGATTTGGCCTGTTATCAAACGAGAAGTATCGTTACTAACTGATCCACTGCATTCATCGTGAATAGCCGAAAGGTTATGAAAGTGGATTGTGATGCTTCCTTACACTGCATTTGGTTAATGATCAAGCAAGTCTTAACCAGCATTTGCTAGGCCAAGGTGTAGCAAACTAGCAGGACCCTTTGCCTCATGAAACTAGCAGCCGTCAGGGCCAAGCTCTGGTGAATGATCAGGCAGGCCCCAGTGTGCATGGACTTGGCTGTTCCTGTGAGATTGAGCCGCGCTAGTGTGCCTGGCCAGATCCGGGTCGGGTGCCCCTGCAAAGGAGTTTGGGGCACCTTATAAGCTTCTTGCGCTGTTATATCCGACTGATCCTCAAATATATTTCCGTCAGGAAGGTGGGAGATACGCCCGCACTCGTTTCGGTAGACCGTCATAGGCTACATCGATGCGACCATTTGGTCCCGTTAGGTGATCTGCCAAACTGGGGTCCAATCCAAATGCCAACTAAGGCACAGTAGTTCCATGGATTTGCTTCGGGCAGGTACCCCGGAGCGGGGCAGTTGTGATGCACAAATAAACTGATAGCGGGGGGGGGGTTGCAACTTTGTGTCCATCTATTTCCGAAGTCCTAGATAGTCCTTACGCCAAGTGCTTCTTTGGCGTAAAGCGCGATGGATCGTCCTCGAATAGCTTCCTTCCTGGGTCCTAAATTGCCGCCTCGGCTTTTGAAATGCATTTTAAATTATGCATAACCTTAAAGTTTTTTGTTCATTCATGTTTACTTTCATCTTACTAAGGCATTTCACCCACCAAAAGTGTTGTAATTCGTGTGATCTCTCCTGTCCGTTGTCACGCGTGCGGCCGTCCAATCGTTGAAGGTGTACCTCCCAGTGACGTCACAAAGGAATTTTTGCTGAGAAGTGCGTTGTCGGGACGGTTTTGCCAAGTATACATGGCCTTGACCTTGGCCGTTTTCGTCCACTAAAATTCGCTTTGACCATTTAAGATACTCGTGAGCACTCCGGCGTTTTCAATCGCGCTCGGGGGCGGCTCTGTTCTAGGGCCCTGGGGGTGGCCGGTTGGTGGGTGGGCCGGTGGCATCATAAGTAAATTGAGCTCGACGCCAGACAGTGGCGACAACATTCTATTGGACTCATTGTCGGTGAGTAGGCGGAGCAGTTGCTAATTGTGCGATGCAAGATCTGCGTTGATGATATTAATTGTATAGTTTATTTCGCACCATCAGGGCAAGTTCATATCTCAGCACATACAGGTGTCTTACACAAACATAGAGCAAGACAGCAGGCAAGGCAGCTTAGTGTTCAACCAGGTTTCGACGACCAGGTTCCGGGAGGCCCAGTGCTGTGAGGTCATACTCATGTGGGGCATGCACATGTGTTATGGCCGTGGCATGCCACTTACCCCTTCTTCACTTCCGTGCAATATCTTAACAATGCTGCTCTCTGTATATGAGTATTTGGCTGACCAGCAGCAGCCAACCAGCTGCTAACATGGGATGTGGTACAAGCTCGAGCTCTACATTGGTCATGGTTCCCCGTCCAGCACGACGTTCTTACCAGCTTTTTATGTGTGAGTGGTAGGCCATTCAAAGCCCTTAAAATGCCTGGTATACACTCATGTGGTTCTGCAGCTCATAACCATGCATGTTTGTGTGGTATTCCATGAGTAGTCAAATCAAAATGCCCCTGTTTGCTAAGTGGACCTTAGCACAGCATATTTATTCTATGCTACAAGGAAAGTATCAATCTGCATCTTTTGACTCACTAAGATTACTTGCCACTTTATATTCTGGTCATTTTAACTCCACTGCTACCAGTCTGAAGTTAGACAGATGTAAAACTGCATATGGCTTTTGAGAATTAAAATTTATGTATACAGTCTTCTTTACATTAAACTGAATATCTCTGGTCATGAGAAATGCTTTGCAGCTCTGAACCAACACTCCCTGTAAGCAAGGAAAAATAGGCCAGCACATTCACTGCACATTTCCCTGCATGGCAACCAATTGTAATAGCTATAAATCACAAAGAAGCTCATCTATGTATACATTGAACAGCAGTAGTAAGAGGTTTCTACCTGGATGCACACCATTCTGTGCAGAGAAAGGATCAGACATTATATGACCATTTAACTCCCATCCTTTGGCTTCTGTATCACCTGATAAGGACCTTAGCAAGTGATGAAGGAACACCACAACATTAGATAATGCTAAAGAGTTTGGAATGCATACTCCATAGAATGCTTTGTTGGCATATATAAAACAAGCATAGACAGGACCACACATAGCATTAAGCTCATTTTTATTCCTGACATGCAAGTGTCAGGTAAATTTGCTCCAGGCCCATTTTCATTTTGTGATAGTGGAGTGCAAATTATTTTGCTTTATATCTCAACAGACCTCAAGTACAAAGCATTTTGGGTGCATAACACCAGCAAATGCCACTTGACACTTTCTCTAACAGTGGGCTGTTGTGTTCTTTTCCCTGCAGTTGTGTTGTTTGGTCGCCTTGCTTCATCAGCCAGCTGACCAAGCATGTCGCCGATGAGCCTGAGCCGCCGCCGGCTGGCGCTGGTCGCCGCTGGTCTGCTGGTCTGCCTCATCATCGTGCTGCTGAGCTCTCGGGACGAGAGCACCGTCCGGGCGGCTGCGCTGCTCGACCAGCTCGAGTCGGCGCAGTGGCGGGACGCCGGCGCGCCGGCCACCGTCGACGACGGGGACCAGGAGGGGGAGCAGGCAGCGGCCGCGGCGGCAGCGGCCTGGTCTCCGGCGGCGGCCGCTCCGTGCCGTCGCAGAATTGAAGTGGGTGTCATTTTCACGAAGGCTGACCAGCATCCCAAGATGAAGACCAACCTGGTGCGCATGTTGCAGACAATAGCAGCGCACACACCAGATTGTGTCAACTTTAACATGTTCACCGACGAAAACAGCAAGGCAATCATCGGAACGGCGTCTATGAAGGCGCGCCTGTCCGGGCGGTTTACGGTCAGTGAAGGCTGCTTCGCTCAACATTTGTAGGCCAGATTCATGTCAAATCCATAACCTGCATGTGTGCCATATTCTGAATAGGTGAAAGGGTGTCGAGACCAGCCAGCCCGGTCATTACCGCATGCGCTTCATGACGACAGGTGCAAATGCTTTCAGCATGTTGCTTGGCCCACTTTCATAACACAATAGGAGGGTTGTATCCTTTTATTCTGATCACCCAAGACGTTGCGCGTCCCTACGTGTATGCGCCTGCATAGCACAGACTTCTTTCCTCGGTCCCCCTGACCTGGTCGGTCTCCGCAGATCGCTCTCCTCATTTTTTTTTTTTTTTGACTTAATGATCTCAGGTTAGTACCACAGCGGAAGGCCGCCGGGGGATTCTTGGGAAGTTCTTTAGAAGACAGAACCTGAGAACGACCATTGGATTTCGCTTGGGCTGCAAGTATGCTTGAGCCTGTTGAGTTGCGTGAGAAGATGAGTTGCTGAACTCGTCTGCTGTCTATCCGTAGACTTTTTCTAGGCATGCTGATGATATATTCGGGATTCGATGACATGGGGGGGAGCAGAGGTCAGGGGAATTCACGTAAAAGTAAACAAAATTCATCCTGAGACCCCGGGCAGAACTCCGCTCGTCTCCGCTGTCGATATATTTACTGGATATTGCTGTTCGATTAACTGAGGAAAGGTTTAATGCCGACCTCTTGGCAAGACCCGCGTGTTGAAAAACGTACTTCCATTTCAATTCCCACCGTACCCACCGTACAAAGGGCCATTCCGTTTTGACTTGGAACATGGATTAGGGGAGTTTGCTCCAGAGTGGAAGACTATGGTCGGCATATAGGAGCAAGTTGTAATAATTGGGGCAAGTTACAGGGGAAGTTAATGGAGGGGGGTATCTGGATCATGTGGTGAAAAAAAATCTGAGGAAATCAAATTCACGGGGCAAAGCGGGGGGGGGGGGGATAGGTCCGAAAAGTCAGGTTGGTAGGTCAGGGTCAAAAGAAGGGTGACAGGGTCCGCTGGTTTGATCTACTCTAGATAATTGCGTAAGGAGGGTGTGTGGATTAAACGCTTCATTCGGCAATTTTCAGTTACATAAAAGCTTCTTCAATGATCCTCTGATGGTGTTCCGCCGTGGAAATAACTCCAGAAATGAGTCCTCTGAAAAAACAGCATGCATGATCATGTATGGATCGAAGCCTGTTTGACGTCTTTAACTCTCCGTAGCGTCTTCTACAAATCAGCTGGAATGTTTCTTCCGCTCTTAACCTATATTAACATAACAGTAATCTCAGAATCATCTTCCAGCACGAGTTCACCTATACGAGGAAGCGGCATACTACACAGGCATAAACCACACAGGTGCACCTCCTGCTCGTTCGGCTCCCGGGTCAAATCTTCTGCGTGGTGCGGTCCCGACCCCGACGTGACCTATCACTTTAGAACCTTCGGTCGACCTCAGTTCCTGACCCACGTCATCTCCGCTGATCGGCTGATCGCAACATGAGGAAGACCTCAACTTGAACGGGCGATGACAGCTGATCGTAACAGCCTCTTAGTGCCCTCGACACCGACACGACACAACACTCACAAGCCGTAGCTTCAAAGCTGTGATATTCTCAGAATTGTATTCAGAGCTACAAAAAACGATAGACGAAATATCGTTGAAATTCGGGAAGTTGGGCGAGATCGATAAGTTGAGCCGGCATAAAATTACTTGGCTGCATTTCTATAGCTCCCCGCAGTTCGCGCTTGTGTCCACCGCGACGCCAAGCTCGTATCATCATGCGCTGCATAATTGTTTTGTATTTGTATTTGTGATATAGATATGCGTCAGAGTAGCTTATGTGCTTTTTAGCATTCAAACGACCTGGTGCTTGGATGTGTATCATGGTCATGTTGGATTTGCGTGGACCAGGAAGTCTGTCGGTGTTTTGTGTCTTCCCATCTATGTGTTTTCGTAAGGCATGCACTTCTGATGAGACCCCACCCCCCTTAGGTGACCAACCATGCCATCGCGCCAATGGCCGACCAGATGAAATCACTGATCGAGGTCATGCAGGAACACTTCGCTCCGCGCAAGGGCACCTACTACAACGACGTGCTGTTCTTCCTCACCACGACCATGCATCGCTCGCTGCCGCGGCTGAAGCGCGTCATCATGATGGACGTGGACATCAGCGTGCGCGCCGACCTCGCCCTGCTCGACGACCACTTCGAGCGGTTCTCGCCGGAGAACGTGATGGGCCTGAGCCTGGAGCTGTCGCCTGTGTACCGGCACGTGCTGGAGGCCCATCGTCGCGAGACTGGTAACCTGACGGCGGGCGGAGCGCCGCCGGCCGGCTTCCCCGGCCTCAACAGCGGCGTCGTGCTGCTGGACCTGGCGCGCATGCGCGCCTCGCGCCGCTACAACCAGCTGATGACCGAGCACGAGATCCGGCGGCGCACGGCCCGCTACCGCTTCAAGGGTCACCTGGGCGATCAGGACCTGTACACGCTGCTGGCACTGGACGAGCCGGAGCTGTTCTACGTGCTGCCGTGCGGCTGGAACCGGCAGCTCTGCACGTTCTGGCGCTCCGTATACGCCGACGTGTTCGACCAGTACTTCCGCTGCCCCGGCTCCATCAGCATCTACCACGGCAACTGCAAGGCGACCATCCCCACGGAAGGCGAGCGGCGGGCTTGAGCGAAGGCGACAATTCACACGATTTGGCCCCGTTGGGTGCTCCTTTGTTGGCAAGCGTGGGGTCGCGCCCCTGTTACATGGGTATGAGAATCTAGACTCGCGTGGCCACCTCCCACCACCTCCCTCAACCGTTAGTTCCTCAGTTCGTTGGCTTGTCTGCAGCCGCGCTGTGTGTATCCCGAGAAACCCGCCGGAAGCCTCTTGTGTTAGCTAAAGCCATGGCTGAAAGTGCCGTTATTTGTCGCTCCTAACAGCTCCATGTTAGTGAATAGGTTTCTCGCGTGTGGCTGCTCGCGTCGGGTGTACAAAGGAATGGTTGACAGCGATCGAAAACGAAGTTCTGCGGGTGATCACAGCTGTTTGGTGGTGGGCTTGCCTCTTCATCCGTGCGATGTCTTTTAGTGTAAGTGATAAGCAGTCAATACCTTGACTGTGGGGCGGGGATCTGAGCGTCGCCCGAGTCCCAAAAAGTCGAATATTGCGGAGGGCTCATTCAGCGTGTGACACAGGTGTGGAGCAGCGTGCGTTTCTTACGGGGTACGCGGCGCACTGGTTTTTGGGAGAGGGCTTTCCTGGAGTACAAAATGCGTTCGGTTGTTGATGAACAGGATGGGGCTGGGACAGGTCCTCTGCGTTGAGTCCTCGAGGTTGGCAAATACCGACGGTCGTCGCGGCCTGCCAGCCTACTTGTTAAACATGTGTGTAATGTTGACGTGGTCCACTTCTCCGGTTTTGGGTTCTGCACATATTTGCGACCATTTTGAGGCTTCTCATGGCATTGCGCTTAGTCGGTACACCCTGCCATGAAGTCGCTATTTCGAAACATTTTGAAACTTTGATCACGGCCCACCGAATGAAGGTTGATGTATGCCTACTTCATTTCTGATTCGATATTTTGTGCGGCAACAAGCTCCCTCTAAACCACAGAGATGAGCATGCCCTTGCGGTGTTCCGACGTGCTTTTAATGGTATGTTGTCGGAGAATGTGAGTAGTGGCCTTTGCCAGTGATTTCTTCACGTCTCAGCCGTTTCAGTAGTCCCCCCCCCCCCCCCCCCCCCAGATGTCTGCATTAATGTGCAACTTCCCACGGGACTTTTCTTGTCGCGATGCGAATAGTGTGTTGTGTTTGTTTTTTCATTTCTGGCCAGTAGCGTTTTGATACTATATTTGATACAGTGGTGGTGCGTCGCTCACCTAGATGCAGGACGCACGCAGCGCGGAAGAGACAGTCGATAGATGTGTGCTGTGTCCTCATTCTACATGCTCGATCTTCAAGGCTCTGCTCGAGAAATATCGATGCTTTAAGTGACAAACCAATGAGGATCTGGGTTCGAGCTTATGGGAGGTCAAGAGCCAAACACTTCACCATAACCATGCCATTTGATTTCATCGATGTGCTTTCACGTGTGTGACGTCATGATTAGGCAGATCTTTGTGTATTGCACTTCAAACTTTGTTTACCATGGTTGATCTCGTGCCACTGCCATGCGGGTAATCGTGCCACTTCCTGTGTTTGTACGTTGACTTAATCAGGTGATTTGCTACTCAGGGTTGCCGGTCGGATTAATATACTGCGTGTTCGGAGCTTTGTTTCAGTGTTTCTACCACGTTGTGGGGTCGACGTTGAAAGGTTTAACGAGCAACAGAAATCGTCCAGTTTATCCTGACTGATTCACGGCCCACAGTGAAATAATGACTTGCCTTTACAGTGGCCGCACGATACCACGTCCACGCAAAAGACCAAATGGAAAGCAGGCATCTGTGGCGGTAGAGGCGTATCTTTCGCGTGTCTGTAAGAACGATACCGCCTGGGCCCATGAGAGCTTGAGCTCGAAGCTCTTGCAGTTTCTGGAGTTTGCGAGGCGTGGATGTTTTTGATGACTGACATGTTAAAGGATGACCTTGATGGGTCGACTTCCAGGTAGATGCTAGTTGCTTCTGTTCTGAATATTCTGGTGCTGGCAAGTTCAACTCGGCCAGTAATTGTTTTGCCATACGGAGTTCAGCGTGCTTTGAACCCGCGTTTGACGTAGAAGCATGGCCTTGAGAGGTCAGAACTTATTACGGACGCTAGTTCTTTCTGTGGTAGATATTCTGATGCCGGCAAGTTGAAAATCCGACAGCATTTTTTTGGTGATATCGAGGTCCGGGCCTCAGCCCACGTTTGATGTTGAAAAGTGACATTGAGTGGTCAGAGCTATTGACGGATGCGATTTGCTGTGCTTGTAAACATTTAGGTGTTTTGAGGTTTAAAATCTCCCGGTAGTTTTTTTTTGTGGATATGGAGTTCCTTGTCCCTTGAGCCTGAATTTAACCTTGAAGGATGGCATGACGTTGAGAGGTGAGGGCTTTTTGGCGGGCGCTAGTTTTTTCTGTGGTGAACATTCTGGTGCTAGCAAGTTCAAATCTGCCAGTATTTTTTTTTTTTGGTATGTTGAATTCCCCGTCCTGTAAGCCCACCTTTGACTTTGAGTAGTGACATTGAGAGATCAGGGCTTCTTGACGGAAACTGATTCTTGCGCTTGTAAATATTTTGATGTGTTCAGATTGAAAATTGGACGGTCATTTTTTGGTGATATGGAGTTCCTCATCCCTCGAGCCTGAGTTTGACCTTAAAGGATGCCCTTTAAAGGCCATGACTTTCTGACGGACTCTAGTTCCTGCGCTTGCGAGCATTTTGATGTTTTCAGGTTTAAAACCAACCGGTAATTTTTTGGTGATATGGAGCTCCCGTCCTTTGAGACTGAATTTGACCTTAAAGAATGACCTTGACAGGTCAGGGCGTTCGGACCGATTCTAGTTCTTGCGCTTGTGAATGTTTTGATATTTGGAAGTTAAAAATCGGCCGGGAATTTGTTGGCGGTCAGCTGGTTTATTTGTTTGTGAATATGTTGTTGGCAGGCTTAGCATCGGCCGGTAATATTTTGGGTGATATTTATGGTGACGAAGTTCCTCATCTTTTGACCTTGCTTTTGATCTTGAAGGCCACATGACATTGCGAAATCAACGTGATTCTCTATGTTCTCGTGCCATAATTGAGGTTGGAACCATTTTCCGAGAAATTGGAGCTCTTTGCGGAATAAATCGCCGAACGTTTTCCGCCAGAGGGCTCGGCTTCGTCGCAGAAAATATGCTTGAGTCCGATCGAACTTGCTTTAGTGAACAAATAATTTGGAATGTTTTACAACCATTCGTGAACTCTACCCAATCATTCTTGATGCTTTGGTGAAAAATAGATTGCAGCTTAAAGAAACTTGGCTTAAATAGGCACAATGAAGATTAATATCACTGGCTTTAAAAAGGGGAGTTTTTGGGCATGTAGCTTTACGCAGGAGTCGGTGCATCCGATGGGTCTCGCGGGTGCGCAGGGGTGCCAACTACGGCCCAAACACGTGCAATGTATGTTGTGACGTGACATAATTACACGGTCGCTGCCGTTTCCCTTGCTTGCCGTTGACGTTTATGGACAAAAATGAGCCAGATTTACGTAACGTAACGGCAAACTGCCCTCTGGCTCGTTTCACGTCCGACATCATCAGCCGATTTGATATAGTCCTTTGCCTGATCTTAAGCCGGAGGCAGTTGCATTTCACCCGCATGTGACTGGCGAGGGGGGGAGTGTAGTATAAAATATGGCGGTAATAACGCACAGTTCACGCCTGCGCCATACAGTCGTATGTCAAAATTCGCCTTCATTTTTGGGAGCCGCCGACTGCTTAGATCTTGAGCATGTGTATGCATACAAAGTACACAGCAAGGAAGCGTAAACATCTTTCTTTCCAATCCCGGGTTCAGAAGTGTGCCCAGCGGCAGTTCGTTTCGGGCCTTTTCACAAAAAGCTACGTTCCTCTGTTTCACGTGGGAAAACGAGCTGTTAATGTCTCTCCATTTGCACAAGTGCCGATTGGAGGCCGCCAAGCGAGCCCTTCCTCATCGTGCCGCGGCAAGTTGGAACCGCCTGCGTCCGACCGCCACTATGTCCAAGTGATGTTTGACAAAAGCCGTAGACTGCCAGCATCGGCGCGAATACAGGCACCGCGCCACGATTTCACGCCCCAAAAGTGACACGATTTCTGAACACCTGATGAACCTCACCAAGCGGGTGAAACTATCTCACAAGTTCGCACTTGAGGCCTCCAGCCAGCGTCACGCTCGCAGCAAGAGACTTTTTGACAGAGAATTGACTATGTACTACTGTCAGGCCGGCACTGTCGTTTATCTTCTTAGGAGCGTGGCTCCACGTGAGCAGTACTACAAGTTTGTCCGGGAATGGAAACCTGCAGTGATAATTGTCAAACTGTCTGACTTAAGCTCAGGGTTGTGTTGGGAGGTGAAAAGCCCGTTGTTGTTCACCACATTAGACTAAAAAACCTGACTCAACGAGCCCTTATTCCCCGCCATAAACCCTGATTAGACTATTCCTGACACAGCATTGTTGTCATTTTGTTCCGAGGATAGCATGTATTCGCCGTATTCGTCAGGTACCACAGTTACCACAGTCGCCAAACTGGGCGACGCATTTGGGCGACTCGTGCACATCTTCGTTCGATCGGGACTCTTCCCCGGTCGGCGGAGGGTCGACAGAGGCTTGGCGGCCTCGGCGGTAACGGTGGAGACTTCAACGCCGCTCTCCGCATCGCCGCCTGATCGTCCCATGCGCCTGCCATATTCCACGAGGTGATCTCAGTCCGAGGAGATGGAAAAATGCCTCTGTCTGCCCTTGCTCCGGTTCCGGCTGCGCAACGTTCTGCTAGGGCCCTCAAGACCCTAGCAGAACGTTTTTTTGCGTTTTTTACGTTTTTTTACGTTTTTATCCGTATTTTTTTGTTAATGGCCGTAAACTATAAAACGTATAATGTTCGATGTAAGATGTAACGTGTCTTGTTTGTTTGACTGACGTGAGGGCTTATAGTTTCAGGTGTGCTACCTGCGCATGAGTTGTGAATGTCATGTCTGGTAGCGCTGAAGCGGGCCTGTCAGGGTCGCGTACAGTCATTGACCATTGCCCTGCTTACGGGACACTGTACGCTTACGCATTCATACGCCACTTGTGGGCTCGCACGAGATGTGTATTCTGTCTCCTGATCACCAACTTAACCCCATGCTAGATGCGTGTTGCACGTTAACACGCGCCCGGGTGACCGGTTGGATACCCTTCACTTGGGTGGGGGTCACTTTGACCCCCTTGAGATCTTGATGTGATGCACAGAAACACTTGTCGCTTCATGCACACAGCAAATGGACCATGCACTTTCAATTAAAACCAAAAAAATCGCATTTTCAAACTTTGACTTTTTCGAAACGAATGGTCACGCTCAAATAGCTTTCTCGTCACCCGGTGATGAAGAGTGTAGTCAACAACTTGCAACATCGTTTTACATCGTTTGCAAGTAAATGCAGCCTTCTATTTTTATTCGTTCGAGAGATATGAGCTTGGAACGTTTTACTGCCCCAAAAATCGCCGGTTTCAAATCCTGCCAATGCGTTGCATTATAAGTGCTTTGACGCAGAATTGCCTTCCCATGCTATGCTTTCAGGTAAGTACAACCAACGTGGAATCATGTCGAAAAATGGTTATTTCTTGTACAACGCACAAAACGGGACAGAGCATGCTTCCACTTCATACACACGCTCAGTTTACTATTGGTCCTCACTTGAGACGAAAAATATTCGTTTGAGAATTCTGACTTTTTTCGCAACAAACTGGCCGTGGTGAGAGTTGTGCTCGCTTCCATGTTGACAACAACGGCAATGAATGTTTGCTCCATCATTGTGCACCATTTGCTCGTGATATCTACTTTCGAACAGAGCTGGTTTCTGAAACAAGAACCATGGAATTTGCGCGCGTCAAGAATGGTCCATTTTTCAAGCGATGAATCTCATTGTATTATACGTTTTTAGACGCGTAATCGCGAAGCGAACA